CGGCTCCCACCTGTCCACCACCGCGGACAGCGATGAAGAGATTCAACATTGGATCAGCTGTGCATCTCAAGCCTTTGGCAGACTCCGTACGAGTGTCTTCAGCTGTAGGGAGCTGAAATTATCGATAAAGTTGCACGTATATCGAGCAGTGATCCTCCCCACCTTGCTATATGACAGCGAGACATGGATCACATACAGAAGGCACCTCAAGGCAATTGAAAATTTTAACTTTCACCAACATAAACTACGTTCCATTCTCCGAGCTCAATGGGAAGACAAGAGAACAAATGCCAGTATTCTCTTTGACACCAACTGTAGGGGCTACCATTATCCATGAAGAATTGCGTTGGACTGGCCATGTTACCCGCATGGACAACAGTAGACTGCTAAAGCAACTACTTTACAGTCACCCAACGAATGGTAAATGTAACGCTGGCGGGCAACTGAAAAGGTATAAGGGTAGTCTTAAGACAAACCTGAAATAGTGCCAAATCGACCCCCTCACCTGGAAGACGATTACTCCACACCATAACGCTTAGACGAGCACCACACGAGAAGGTGTCAATACTTTCGAGTTACCCTGACTGCATATCGAGGCAGACAAGCACCAACGCCGGAAAGATGCCACCGCCGCCCCTCCAGCACCAGATGTAGCCCTCCACACGTGTAACATCTGTGGACGACCCTGCCGGTCCCGTATCCCGTATCGGCCTCTCTAGTCACCTCAGAGCTCACCCACGAAGGTGACATCCTTAATAACTTATATCGTTGTCTCATAGCTTGATGATCGTTATGCTCGATTCCGAGTGACAGCAAAGTAGTAGTAGTGTGTATCTGCCTCTGGAAAAGAAACCAGGATGTAGGCCTATAGGGGTTGGGGAAATGCTGAGGCGGATCATCTGAAAATGCATAATGGAGGTGGTAAAGGATGATATCAGGGCAGCAGCAGGAAACCTACAAGTGTGTGCTGGCCACCAGGCTGGCGGGGAGGCCGCCATTCACGCCATGAGATTGATATTTGAGCAGCGTGATTGTGAGGCCGTTCTCCTGGTGGATGCTTCAAACGTATTCAACATACTTAACCGCAAGGCTGCACTGCACAACACCAAGATCAAGTGTCCAAGTTTTGCAATGTATGTTGAAAACTCATATAGGAATCCATCAGATCTCTATATAGTAAACAACAAGGCTCGAAGAGGTGATACCATCTTACAGTCAACCGAGGGAACAACATTGCAATGGCAATGGCAATGTATGCAATTGGCCTATCAGTGCTCCAACAAGAAATAAAATTTGTAACAACTGGGGTCAAACAAGTGGCGTATGCTGATGACTTTACAAGAGCAGGAAAAGTGGAGGGCATCAAAAAGTGGTGGGACTTGGTAACATAGCGAGGTCCACAAATAGGGTACCACCCAAACGCCGGCAAGTCCTTCCTCATGGTGAAGCCAGAACATTATGAACGGGCAATGGAGGTGTCTGGCGGAAGTGAAGTCAAAATAACTAAGGACCGCCAAAGACATCTAGGCACAGTAATTGGCACTCCGGACTTCAAGACCGAGTACGTAGCGGGAAAGGTGAATGAGTGGGTTAGTGAAATCCAAGCTCTGTCTAAGATTGCTAACACAGAGCCACATGCGGCTTTTGCTGCATTCACCCATGGAGTCAAGCATCGTTGGAACTACCTGATGCGTACTATCCCTGATATCGGACCCCTCCTCCACCCTCTGGAAGAAGCTATCAGTGTCAATTTCATTCCCAAATTAGTGAAACACCCTTACTTAACCCCAGCAGAAAGAGCAGTTCTTGCACTTCCATCAAGACTGGGAGGGATGGGACTAACCACTCCAGAGGAGATTGCAGCCACCGAACATCAAAATTCACTTAAGCTCACGGCAGCCCTCACGGACCACATAATAGCTCAGAACGCAACAGGGGAGGTGGATACCAGTGAAGTAAACAAGATTCGAAGGTCCATTACGACAGATCGACAGCACTGCCAAAATGATAAGTTGCAGCAACTGTTGCTGCAGGTACCAGAAAATTTAAAAAAAAAGTAGCTATAGCCCAGGAGGTGGGCGCCTCGAACTGGTTAACTACGTTACCGATAAGGGCAAATGGTTTCAGTCTTAATAAACAAGAATTTACAGATGCCATTGCTCTAAGGTACGGTCGGCCAGTAGAAGGTTTGTCCTCCCAATGCGTGTGTGGCTCTTCCTATGACTTCGATCACGCCATGGTGTGCAAGAAAGGGGGCTTCATGTATGCATGAGGCATGACGAAGTAAGGGACCTCACAGCAAATATGTTGATGGAAATCTGCCGGGTTGTCATAGTAGAATGGACTCGCCTTCCATTGGATGGTGAGATCTTCCAACATAGGACTTCAAACACATCTAACGAAGCCCGTGTTGACGTCAGTGCTCGAGGATTCTGGACGCGGGGACAGCGAGCTTTCTTCGACATCAGGATTTTTGATCCCATGGCCGCATGTCACCTAACCTAGCTCTCGATGCTGCACATAGGAGGAACGAGAACGACAAGAGAAGGGCATATGGGGAGAGAATTCAAAACGTTGATCAAGGCAGCTTCACTCCTCTAGTGTTCACAACCTCTGGTGGGATGGGACCAAGTGCAAGATGTTTCTACGCCAGACTCGCGGAGGTGATCTCCAAACAGAAGCAGCAGCCCAGAAGTTATGTTACAGCCTGGATGAGATGTCGACTGTCTTTCTCTTTCCTTCGGTCGGCTTTGCTCTGCCTCAGGGGAACGAGAGCTTCTGCCCCAATGCCGACAACTGCTGCAGATATTGACTATGAGGCAACAGTCACTGAATGCCGCATAGATCTGCAGCTCAACTAATTCAACACAGATAGGATAGCTACTTATGTATTAGGATATTTAATATTAAGGTAATAAAATGGCGGCAAAGGTGTGGCTATTGGGGGAGGCTGGAGGCCACGTTATAAAAAAAAAAAAATGTGTGTATTTGCCTTAGTAACACACGACATTGGACTTGGTTTAGAACACACTTGGGAATACTATCATTACTAACATCATAGAAATGTTGATCCTGATTAAGGAACAGTAATACAGTTGTGTCTCTCAGATGGAAACATAACAATACCGATGACCGAGACAATACACACGGTGTAAAATCTGATTAATTCAGATTTTTTTCAGTAAGTTTGCGTTACTACAGAGAATACGGCAACACAGTGATACATTACACATCTTATGACCTGGAGTAAGTGTCGGTGTAATACATGCCGGATCTAAGAGTCGTAATCACACTTCCGGGTATATTTATATTATAGGAAGAATAACTGTTTATTAATTTTTATTTTTCCTTCTCGGTCTCTTAACTGAACATTTTCAACATCCCCCTTTTCCTCTCTTACTCGTAACTTCCTCCTCCAACATCACATCTGAAACCTCTCTTGACCGTCCTCACTCACCACCTTCACCCGGTCACCTGCTCCTCCTCCTCCTCCTCTATCTTGCCCCTCCAGCACAGAGGTAATTGGTTTGTTTGGGGTTGCGTGTTATGATCCTCTGGCAGCACTACACAACACAGCCGCCACCACTACACAACATCGCCGCCAGCACCACACAACATCGCTGCCGGCAGAGAATGGTTGACATTAACGCTCTGAAGGGTAAAGGTTATCAGCAGATTTTTGTCTGGGGATTGAAATTCAGGCTTCTACGCCCTTGACCCTTCAGGCTTCTACGCCCTTAACTCATGAGACATGAAAGGCAAGCATGAACTTAGCAGGCTTCCTCTGTTGGGCGCTGTAAACGCTTCTGCGCTTCACCTTGCACAGGATGTAGGGGGGTGCCCAATTAAAAAATAAAGTTGTTGTTGTAGTGTGTTATGCTTATAACATAATTATTTTGTAAAGGCTTCACTCTCTGGTCATTCTTGGGTGCTAGACACTGGTCAGTTATCAAGTCATATCCAAAAAGATGGAAAATGAGTAAGGGAAAAAATCTTAAAATTCGTCCCAGAAAAATAATAGTAGTTAAACAGAGGCGAGATGACAACATAAATTTACAAGAGGCTAACCATAGCAAGGTAGGTAAATACCAGGTAGCCTCACGCAGGCCCATAAGAATTCATTAATTGGCAACTTTACTCTCGAGATCACTAAGCAACGCCCCTTATGCCACTTCATGCGTTTGTAATATTGTGGTATTATTATCTGTATAGTTCCTTTCTCTAATCAAAATATACTAGCATAAAATGTTATTAATGAGATATATATTTAATAATATGTAATATACAGTGTATATTACCATGTAAATTATACAATAAGAAAATGTTTGACGAAATTTACAATAAAACGAGAACTCTGGTTGAATTGTAAAATATTCCATACATTTCCTCCCATTTTAATTTTATTTGGGATTCTGGCTATTCCCAGCAGTCTGGTAACTGTTGCTTGACTTCATTAACTGGTTCTGACTGAAGCATCAACTGTTAATGCAGAAAATAAGTAAACACGTTTTATTTTACTCTAATTGATATACAAAAAGAAGTGTGATGGTTTAAGAGTTACCGTACACACAACATATCATATCCATAGAAATGTAAATAGTACACGATGTATGAAGAATGCATTTATATATTTCGCACAGGTATCGCAATAACTTTACAAGTTACTATTGATCTGGATACATTTTCATGTTATAACATTTAACAGACATAAGTAACTGTTTACGTTTTTCGTCTTTTTAGTACAAACACACATAAATACATACATACATGCTCTCTCTTTCTCTCTCTCTCTGTCTCTCTCACACACACACAAACACGTATAGAGAACATTATAGGCTACTGTCTGATGAGATACATGACTATCATGTATAAAAAAAAATAGCCCACAGTAACAGTCTACTAGATTCATATTAAGTTATATTTTGACAATTGAAAATGCATAATACATTATATATAAAACAGGAAACAAAACGTATGCACATTTAATGTACTGTACTTACAATATATGGTCTTCGTACGTTGTAGCATTCTTGATTTCACCTCCTAATCCCGGTAGATTTATTGTTGGACGTGAGTGTGGGTTTAAAGAAAGCTTTACATTGCCTACTGCTAAATGGTAATTAAAACATTCAGATTTAAAATGCACTGAGCATATCCTTTGCCACGACTTCACTTGTTTGGTGTTTTTTATATCTTTTCTTTTACAGGCATCTAGCCATTGCCCGTAACTTTATGTCGAGATGAATAAAAAGATACAAACTTTCTTCTTTTCTGAGATGAATTTGTAGGTGGCTACAGCGCAATAAATCATTGTTATAAAAGAAAAACACTCCACTTTCACTTGTAAATATCCCGCTTCTACTGTGTGATGTAACTCAATGGGCGGAGCTTAATAAGTGATGTCATCGCTAGCTAATCAGCGACGTTGGATGAAATCCAGCGGTCGCAAGTAAGATATTTATATTTATTTTATATATTTAATCAGTGGCTCCAATTAAAAAAAAAAAAAATCTCCATTCTATACATTTATTGTACAACTTTTAATACCACCATAAGCCTTCAAAAATGCGTAAATAAAAATTTCATTTTTATTTTCATTAGCGTAGATCTAATATTGGGGAGTGAGGCTACCTGTTATCTACCTACCTTGAACCATAATGCCAAAGATAGCTTTTGTAAGTTCGCTAAGTCATTGTTATAAGGCATGTAACAATTTGACAAAGGTCTCTGAAGTTATCTCTCGTGAATACATACATACGGGATGAAATAAATACAACCTAAAACAATAATGTATTGACTGTGAAAATGGACCCCACAGTACACTGAACACTAAACCTCCAGTATAGTGTAGCTGACACTGCACTTTATTGCCTTTACTCCCATACTGCAATGATAGGTATCAATTTAAAGTTGGGTGACTTGGGGAGACGCAGGAAAGGAAGCAAACGTTGTACAAACGTTGTACACATTCGGGCACGGCACATTGTTATTTAATCCTAGTAAGCTTAGGACTGGTTTCCATATTCCAATTATACTCACGTCGATGTAACTCAAGACTTGGAACCTTTAAATTATCCGATTATCTCTTGAAATAAAACTTGTCTAGTAATTACCCGACCATCTATCTACCTGGCGGCTCCAAGGTCATGTTGAAGTCATGTTGCATAGTGAGGGTAGGTATAGACAGACTGCATTCATAACAAATGTGAACAAAACTAACATATAACACTAACAAACACATATAAGTACACCCATAACATAAACATTACAAACAATCACAAGGTTTTAAATGAACGTTGTTTTATTTCCACGTGAACTTGATCTCACTCTCCTCTACTGTATATATTAGCCTTGTCAAGTATTTCTCCTTAGTCTGTACTCACCCCTGAAGATGTGAATTACACGAAAGCGCTTGGGAACTTCGTGTTTTCTTGTTTCTTGTGGTTATCAGCACATATATATATATATATATATATATATATATATATTTTTTTTTTTTTTCCCATATGTGTGTGTGTGTGTGTGTGCGTCTAGACACTCTAGTCAATAGTGTAGGACAAATAATAATGATAATACTTTTTAATCAATATTTTTATTCTTTATTATTTATTGTTTACGAACACTTCTCTGACACGTAAAATATTACATTTATTATAACATACGACTGCAATACCTAACCTAACCTAACCTAACCTAAACTAACCTTACCTTACCTAACCTAACCTATTTTGCACTCTAACGGATTTTTTTTATGTCCTAGGGGCTTTTGTCACTCTGTGTGTGTGTGTGTGTGTGTGTGTGTGTGTGTGTGTGTGTGTGTGTGTGTGTGTGTGTGTGTGTATGTCATGAAAAGGGTATTTGATGCGGCAATGATGTCCACCTTGTTATATGGTTGTAAGTCATGGTTAAATGGTGACATTACGCCTATGAATAAACTTTATATGTGGTGTATTAAACAGTTATTAGGTTTTATGAAAACGACCAACAATGATTTATGCATGGTGGAACTTGGTTATACTCCGTTACGTGCCTTCATAACAGCTAAGCAGCGTAAATTTTCTCGAGGAAATGGACGGGAAGAAGTGAAATGGTAGACGATCTACTTGCCCATACTATTAATATTGTATTAAGTTTTAATACGCTCACGTCACGATATGTACTCGATCTTTTATTTAATGATATTGATGATGTTCAAATAGCCTTTACACACTCTGAAACAGAAATTGTCAAACACAGACTCAAGTAGAGTACAATTATACAAGACTATCAATCCAAATTTTGATGTTCTTGCAATCTACAATACAAAGGTAAAGGTGAATGAGCTATAACGAGTATCGTGGACACGAATGAGAGTGAGTGCCCATTCCCTTGCTGTAGAGGAGGGGCGCTGGAACAGACGAGGCAGGGGCCGTCTGCCCATTGAAGAGAGATTGTGTTCATGTGGTGTTATTTAGTCTGAATGGTATGATGTTGCAGAGTGCCCCCGAACAAAAGATATACGCCATCAATATAGTATTTCAACTTTTGTAAATTGCTATCTAAAAGAACGGATTATGAAACTGTCTGTCGTGCAGTTCATCGAATACTTCATGTATATACGTAGTTACAAGTCACAGGGACATACCATTACCCACAACTATTTTGTATGTTTTAGTTTATTTTACTTGTAGTTATGTTTTTTACTTTATTTTCTAGTGGTTTTCCTCTATTTTTGTGTAACTGGTTGAATCAGTGAACTTTTATTAATTTTGGGTGTTTTAAAGCATTTGCATTTGGACCATTTATGTAAAATGTTAGTGTTAACTCTGATTCATAATTTGTGGTCAATAAAATATCTATCTATCTATCTATCTATCTATCTATCTGTCTGTGTGTGTGAGGATGTAGAAGCCAGAAGGGTGTAGAGGAGCCAGGTGATGAAGTGCACAGAAATACTACAGCCAATAAGCGCGAGGTTGTAGGAAAGTACACTTGTTGTGTCCTCGGCAGACTTACTCCACCCTGTATACATTTACTAATATTACTATTATCATAATGACATATTTTTTATTTAGAATGCACGATAATTGATGGCGATGTCGGGGGACGTCACCTTGTTTTGTGTTATGTCTGACGGCCCAGTAATTGGGTGTCAGTAAACAGGCGGCTGGTGGCGTCTATTAAGTGCAGTACGGTGATGGGGTAATTAAATATTTTACAAGTGAGTGTTGCTGTCAGTTGCTGGAGAGTGTGTGGGCGATGGAGTGTCTAGGTGAGCCTCCTTAGCATGAGAAGATACCGATGAGAACAAGGCATAACATGTTCAAGCTGAAGAATATAATCCTTTACTGGGTTCCTTTCCCTAAATTTAGCTCTAACGAGTCAAGACATGTTCCTGACTGTGTCTGTCCCCTTGTTTCACCTGAACACAACCCATGCTGTATTGCTTCCCTCACTCATCAGATTAATATATATTACCTCGACTGTAAAATACTTGTATGTATATTCTTGTAAATGTAAAAAAAATAAAAATAAAACAAAATAAAGACGTGACAATCATGGTAACATTCTCATATATTATGTACTTACTAACATCATGTTACGCGTACTATTCCAGATGATACTAAATTTTAAATAATAATACCTTGAGATAAATGTGCAGTATATATCAGGTGCCATTGAGAGAGCTCAGGTTCTCAATTGGCTCAGCCATGTCAATATTGTTATAATTATCCACTTTGTATCTGTATTCTTCTGGCTAAATAAACTGTTTCAATATCAATATGGCAGTATTGTTTGACGAATGTATGAATGCCCACAAGTATACTATGCGGCTAATGTTAAAACTCATTTTCACATACAGTATTATAAGAAAACTGCAATGAAAGTTCCATCCATTTTAAGTCTGTTTCTGGTCCTGTGCATCCGACCAACAGCATATCTTTGGTTGTCGCGGTGACCGTCCACTTGTGTTCATTCTGGCCCGGGATTCCATAAAGCCAATGAGAACAACGACCTCTGAGTACTAACTGAGATTCAGGGCAAAAGTCATTAAGGCCTTGAACTGAAGAGACGTAAAATGTGTCTAGACTAAAGTAGGGATGATTGTGATGGAGCCTTGGTGTTATAAGAGTGAGGAGGTCTGACTGTAGTGGAGGAAGGGTCTGGCTGTAGTGGAGGGGGGGTCTGGCTGTAGTGGAGGGAGGGTCTGACTGTAGTGGAGGGAGGGTCTGGCTGTAGTGAAGGAAGGGTCTGGCTGTAGTGGAGGGTCTGGCTGTAGTGAAGGAAGGGTCTGGCTGTAGTGGAGGTAGGGAGGTCTGGCTGTAGTGGAGGGAGGGTCTGGCTGTAGTGGAGGGAGGGTCTGGCTGTAGTGAAGGGAGGGTCTGGCTGTAGTGCAGGGAGGTCTGTGTAGTGGAGGGAGGGTGTGGCTGTAGTGGAGGGAGGGTCTGGCTATAGTGCAGGAGGGTCTGGCTGTAGTGGAGGGAGGTGTGGCTGTAGAAGAGGGAGGTCTGGCTGTAGTGAAGGAGGGTCTGGCTGTAGTGCAGGGAAGGTCTGGCTGTAGTGGAGGGAGGGTCTGGCTGTAGTGGAGGAAGGGTCTGGCTGTAGTGGAGGAGAGGTCTGGCTGTAGTGAAGGGAGGTCTGGCTGTAGTGGAGGGAGGGTCTGGCTGTAGTGGAGGGAGGGTCTGGCTGTAGTGGAGGTTGGGTCTGGCTGTAGTGGAGGGAGGTCTGGCTGTGGTGGAGGAGGTCTGGCTGTAGGTGGGAGGGTCAGCCTGTAGTGGAGAGGGAGGTCTGGCTGTAGTGGAGGGAGGGTGTGGCTGTAGAAGAGGGAGGGTCTGGCTGTAGTGAAGGGAGGGTCTGGCTGTAGTGCAGGAAGGTCTGGCTGTAGTGGAGGGAGGTCTGGCTGTAGTGGAGGAGCTGCCTGTGTAGTGGAGGGAGGGTCTGGCTGTAGTGGAGGTTGGGTCTGGCTGTAGAAGAGGGAGGGTCTGCCTGTAGTGGAGGGAGGGGTCTGGCTGTAGAAGAGGGAGGGTCTGGCTGTAGTGGAGGGAGGGTCTGGCTGTAGTGGAGGGAGGGTCTGGCTGTAGTGGAGGGAGGGTCTGGCTGTAGAAAGAGGAGGGTCTGCCTGTAGTGGAGGGAGAGGGTCTGGCTGTAGAAGAGGAGGGTCTGGCTGTAGTGGAGGGGAGGGTCTGCCTGTAGTGGAGAGGGAGAGTCTGGCTGTAGTGG